CGGACTCCCCCTCTAGGGGAGATGGGCAGCATACAAATTTAATAAATAAATACATAAATTATTGTGCCTCTCTGCCCTACAAATCCATTGAATGGACCCGCTTCCTTTTAAACTCATGAGCCTTAGGGAAACTTCAGCGCCATCAACAGTTTTGTTTCGGAGTCACACTTGGGTCAGATCACAGGGCTAGTTCTACCTCCTGACGAGCTCAAGGTCACAAACATGACCCCAGCTTTGTAATCATGCAAGTGCCGTCATTATGTCCCCATATCATGGCATGATTAGGGTCCCCTCTCCCCACCACAAATGGTCAAGTTGCATTTAGTTCTGGACACCGCACTTGAAAAGGAGACACGGAAACTCAAAAAGGTTCAGCGAAAAGCAACGAGGATGACCAGGGAAGAAGAAATTAAGTCCTACAGAATAGGCCGAAGGACCGGGGCCCATTGAGCCTTGAGAAGATGGGGGCAGATGTGACAGTCCTTTTCAAATACCTGAAAGGACGCCAGAAGCCCGCTCTTGTTCCATGATCCAGGACACAGAAACAACAGACCGATGTCCCAGAAGGCAGGTTTCAATTCAATATTTGGAAAATTTTCCAAGTAGTAACAGCTGTTCAACAGGGAGGTGATTATCTAGAGGAGTGTTTCTCAACCTTGGTGGCTTTAAGATGTGTGGACTTCAATTCCCAGAATTCCCCAGCCAGCCATGCTGGCTGGGGAATTCTGGGAATTGAAGTCCACTCATCTTAAAGTCGCCAAGGTTGAGAAACACTCATCTAGAGAAAAGGTGGGCTTTGATGGATGTGTTCATGCCTAGGTTAGGGAGTCACCTGTCCGGGACGCTTCCTTGGAATTCCCGCATTAAGAAAGGGGCGAGACTAGCTGACCTCACTGGTCCCTTCCAACTAAACAGGCTTTTGCACATGCTAATCCTGGCCCGTTTGAACTGCTGCAACCAGACAACTGATGCTCTCGTGTGGGCACAATTCTTATCAATCCCTGAGGATATTTAAAGTTACCCAACCTTTTAAGACTGGTCCTGTTTGGACACTGTCCTGAGGCCAAAAGGCCAAATTCACCTGGGGAATGCACACCTCCCCAACATCTGCCCAGCGTGCTCTTCAGCACCAGGGTTTTGCCGCTCGGCTGGCCGGAAACGAAACCAAAGTCAAAAGCAAGCGTGGTGCCCGGATGAGCGAACGTTTGAACCAGGCTCTTTCTGAGAAGGGGCGTGGGCTGGATAGCAAGCAAAGAACAGCAGAAATGTTTTCTGGAGCTGCATCGGCAAGGCTGGGCCTTCTGCTCCTTTGAAAAACAGGCTCGGGGTAAACAGATGCCAGAGTGCTGTTTGGCTGATCATCCTAAGCAAGCAAGGAGCTGGGATCCCCAGAGATCTGTCAAGAGGTAGGGAGGGAGATGAGAGATCCCAGGGGTACCCTCCTTCCCTCGCCAGCACAGAAAGCTTGCACTGAACTCACCGCCTGGCACAGGGCATCTCCCTGGAGGGTTAGAATTCCCTTCACCTGGTCAGCGCTGAAATAAAGACAGTGTATTAATGGGGCAAAACAAGGCACCCCTGAGTCCACCACCCCCTGCCCTGCACACAAGCAATGCAACAGATGGACAATGCACTTTAAAGCCATCTGGAGGTATTGGGAGCATCTGGTTTCAGCCAGCTTTGGGGGCACCAGCAGTGGGTAAGAAGCAGGTGCGATTCTCGTCCAAGCAGGGTTAATCTGATCTAGCAACCCGGGCTCTGTTGGCTCTCGAGACAGGAGCTCCTGGTGGTTGTTTTCACAACAGGAAGGTGAATCTAAAACAGGCCTGGTGAGGGATTTGATGATGAAATGCATGCTGGCTTAAACACATTAAAAAAAAAAAGGGGCTGAAAGTCTTTGGTGGCAGCTTGTTGATCTCCTCTGTGAGGAAGACTGGCTGAATGTTCTGCTTAACAATCCCCAGACACCGGAAACAGATGGAAGGCCTCTCAGCCAGGGCGTTAATTCCCTCTCCTACAGCAGAGTGCACCAAACCGGCAGCCCTGATCTTCTCCAGCAGCTTGGAGGAGAGTCGCTGCTCCTGATCCAGAGAAAGCTGCCCCCCCAATTTTGGCAGAGGTTTCAAGGGGCAGCAGGAAGCGGGAACTGTTTGGAAGAGTCTCTAAGCTTTCCTCCCTCTGGCTGGCCGAACGTGGCTCATCCTGCTTCGTCTCATCTTCCTGCCTGCTATGAAAAAGCCGGTCACCTACCAAGGCCCTCTACCTACTTGGAAGTGCCCAGGATGAAGTTCTCCTGCTTGACAGGCCCCTCTGAGCTGCTCACTGGCAAATTAAACCGATGAGAAGCCTCCTGGATGAGAAAAGAGAGGAAGAGGATCAGTGCCAGGGGCATCAGCCACTCCAAGTATTTCTTTTCCCCCCCGAGTCAGAATCTAAGAGCAGAAAAACACCATCCTGTTGTCTGAAAAAACAAAGCTGAGGAGGCAAACCATCTATTCCAACCCCGCTCCCGTGAGCAATCAGCAGGCACTTCACAGCTCCTCACTGCGGCCAAGTAAATTCAACTCATGGATTCAGATGGGCTCTAGGTCCACTAAATCAATATTATAAATAAACCATTAGTCCACTTAGAAATTCCACCCAAGTAACTTCACCCACCCACGGGGACACAACATAGCAGGCAAAGAAAGGAGGGAAAGGAGTCCAGCTTCAAAGCACGCAAGAAGCAAAAACGCATCTCTCTGGAACTCTTTAAAGCAGCCGTGTCCTTCCCCAGGATGCGGCGGCTGCTGTAAAGGGCGGTCGCATCATCCTAGGGAAAGATTTGTAACGAGTAGCAGACAGGGGTTCCGTTTGTGAGCTCCAAAGCACCTTTTTCCTAATGATTTTCAAGGTGCTGTATGGCCACATTTAGAGGCAAGGCGTGCGTGCTGGCCTAACCCTGCACTGGTGAAATCTATACCTAGCCCTAACCAGCAGCCATCAGATCAATACCCTGTCATCCTATTACAGGGGAGGCAATTAGGGGTGCCTAGCTCTTGGGATTCAAAGCAGAAAAGATCCTTTGAAGGAGACACAGGGATGCTTCCGACACCTGCCCTTAAAGGAGCTGTGCATTTTCCTGGGGTTGTGCATTCTCAGGGAAGATGTATTTTGAGTTGAGGAGCTGTTGAAGAGGCAGTCATAGGTCATCACACCTTGCGGGCATCTCCTTTGCCCAAATGTGTATTTTCCTGGGATCGTATGGCGACTGTGCAAGCCCAAGAAAAGGCACCTCTTCTTTAAGAGGGACCGACAGATACCACAAGCGCACTCGTGTCCCACTTCAGAATAGCTGCACATCATTTCAGTAACGGCAATCAAAAAGCAGAGCCCACAGCAGATCTGAAATCCTCCTGGGGGAGGCCCTGGAAATGGCTGTCAAATACCAAAACAGGGGGGAAAAAATCTAAAAGGAGGGATAGGGTGAGGTTTTTTTTAAAAGACTTTTTTATATACACTTTGTTTTAATATGTATATTTTAAATATCTTCTAGCTTTTCATAACTTTTCTTTTAGATCCCTTTTAGATATATGTTTTTTAAAATTTTATATCTGCTGTTATCATTCTGGAGTATTTTCTATGCTTTTTAAACTGACTGCACCCCACCCTCCTTATGCTGGTCTTTGACCATAATAAAGATTTTGATTTGACTTGACCAAAACTGGAAGACAGATTTTTCCTTTTCGTAAGCACCTTCAGGATCTCTTGCAGCTGACGAAGGACGGAATGAACTTCTTCTCGTAAAAGCCATTTAAACTCTTCTTCCTGAGTCGAGAGAGAGAGATCAAGATCGGCGTGATTACTGCACCTTTCTGGGAAGCATATTAAAATTGGGAGTCCACAGCACAATGGACTGAAAGGTTTCATAAGATGCCACTGAATATTTATTGGATTTTAAGCTGCACCAGAACCAAATTTAGCTGTGGGCTATGCATGTGCTGAAAATAGAATGCATCTCGTCTGGGTAAGACATTAAATAAACTTAGCAGAAGCAAAGGTATTCTCCAAAGAGGGAGATATAAGAGAGTCAGTGTAACATGGTGGCTGAAGTGTTCAAGATCCAGGTTCAAGTCCCCGCACAGCATAATGATATGTGGGAATGACCCTGGGAGACAGGAGGAAGAGCCGCAGACTAGATAACCGGCAGCTGAGCCCGCAGAAGGAATGGGGACATGGCAAACGTCTCAGAAGGGACCCTCCCTAGTTTCTCGGACTGTAAAGGCGATGGGGGAGAAATGTACTTTCAGACTTGCAAGATGCTGTTCATGTAAGGTTGAGAAACACTGATCTAAAGGCACCAGGTACAAAGCTTGCAGAGGCTGCTGCAACTGCCTTCCTGCCTTCGCAACATGGCAAAAACAGAACAAAGCCCCACCGTTCCTAGTTTAGAATTTCCAACAGAGAAACTGGGCTATCCCTGTAAAAAATCTTAGAAAGGGACCCGTCCCTTGAAAAAAAGGAGGAAAAAACCCGCTGTCATTCAGAATTCTGGAGGGAGAATCTGTGATGTTTCCTTTGTGTGTGTGTCTGTGTGTGTGTGTGTGTAAATTTTTAACTGAGTTTCAGAAAAAATTAAAGTACAGAAAATCAAAAAGAAAAGAAAAAAATAACAAAAGAGAGAAAAGTACGGAAAAAGTAAAGTAACTTCCGACTATCTTTGAGACAGGCATAGGAATAAAATACATTCACCTCTTACTCCAATATCTAAAAATTCACATAATAAAAACTGTCCTTTGCTCTAACATTTAAAAAGATTACAAAATAAGTCTATATCAACAAGGAATATAAATAAAATAATACAAGGTATTTCTCTAACTATAGAATACATCAGTCATCAAATCCCAAAATCAAAATTTCATTTTCTTTGTGCGTATCTCAAGTAAAAAGTCCAAGAGTAGTTTCCAAAGAGGAACAAAACCAGACAATGTCCTTTCTTTGATCAAAGTTGTCAGTTTTGCCACTTCTGCAATCTGTAGTGTTCCCAATGATCGGGAAGGCTTACCTTTAACCCAACTCACCTCCCACCTCCTCTCTTCTGTAGGAACATCTCTCATGTTTCAGAACGTGCTCCAAGCTCTTATAGGAGATCCAGCTTTGCTCTTTAACAAACACAGCAATTTTGGGGGGGAGGTGGGGGTGGCAGAATTCCCACCCATGGAAAAAGGCTGAGTTTGGCCAAAAAGCAATGACACCAACTCGGAATGGAGTAAAAACCAAGTTATCTACCTCGGAATAAGTCTACAAGCTACCAATGGCTGCTGGCTTAAGGGCACTGAGAAGTCCTTAAAGGACAATGGAATTACTTTAGCAAGGTTTCCTTCCAAGGGCACCTTGACCGTTCTTCAGCTGGCAAAGACAAACAAATTCCTGCAGGAGCCTGTGATTTATTCACTTTAAACATCACTTTAATCATTAACTTGCACCTATATTCACAAGACTGCTGTCCTTTAATTTGAAGATGGATGACCCTGGGAAGGAACAAAATATTAACTTCAGCCATCTCTCTCCTCTCTCTCTCACTTGCATCTTCCCATTTGCATGCCGGTGCCCACTTGCCCGTATCTAGTCCGTTTCTGAACGAATCAGAACACACCAGGGAGGCATCTGGAAGGTATTTCCCGGGGGAAGAACCTGTTTTTTTTTTTTTTTAAATGAAGCAGGTTCAGATCTGATTAACACCTGGACTTGCAGGAAATCCCAGGCTGTAGATCAGACTGGAAAGTAAAAAATTAAAAATCCCAGGATAAAAAAGAGAAGACGACGTGAATAACAAACCTCTTTTGTATTGCCTTGGAGGAAAAATAATTTCCCCATAAAATCTTTCATATTCTTTACACCAGGGTTTCTCAAGGTTGGCTGGGGAATTCTGGGAGTTGAGGTCCAGCCATCTGACAGCTGCCAAGGTTGAAAAATATTTATATATTTTCAAATTTGTCACCACCCATCTCACTGTCACAAAAACACAGCTTTATACAATTCTCTCTCCATAAGAATTATTTTAGTAAGTTGCCTTTGCTGTTCCAAAGCTCCTGGACCAATTTTAGTGATTGTCTGTAGAAAACAAGGACTGTCTGTACAAATAAGACAACACTTACTGTACCTTCATTGTCTACTCTCAGACCAGAATGAGGTCAGTAATAGATAAGTGTACACAGGACTTGCCAAGATCACAAAAAACACACAAAGAACATTTGTTAGAAAAGAGGCCTCGCGTGATTTAGGCAAGAACGTTAAGTTTGGCTTCCCCAATTTAACATAATGAAAGACATCCCCTAATCACATTTGACTACATACTCCGTAGCTGACAAATAATAAAGCCGTTTTCTAGAATCCTGTAGAACGGACGGCATCATTCCAGGCTAGTGGTGAGGAAGGAAAATGCTTCGGTGTGAATAGGAAAAAAAACGACTTGGCTAGGAGGATCCAAGAGGCAGTGTGGTACAGTGGTTAAGGAACGGAGAGATTCACTAGATGCTTTCGGCCAGTCATCCTCTCTTAATCCAACCCAGTGTTTCTCAACCGTGGCCGCTTTAAGCTGGGTGGACTTCAACTCCCAGAATTCCCCAGCCAGCAATACTGGCTGGGGAATTC